GTGATGCTCAAAACCGGAGTTTTTTAAATATTAATTTAGCAAAAAGCTAGACCAAAAAATCTATGAAAAAGCAATGCACACTACAAAAACAAATTTGTAAAAATAATTATAGAGAAATCATTGATGAAAAAGAAAAAGAGAACTAACCGGTTCCTTTTTGAATCCACGGTGAAACCATAATGGTAGGAACCCGAACACCTAACCGGTCAAATTTAAAGAAACCAGGAGCCGGTCCGGTATTCCCATCCGGGTTTGGTATACCAACAAAAGGAGTCTTGACATGATCATAAAACCCACCATGCTCATCATAGGTTATGACTAGGAGCGTCTCGTTCCACTGTGGACTCGACCTAAGTGTCTCGTACACTTGCTTAACCAGTTTCTGACCATTAGCCACGTCGTGCGACGGGTGATCGTCGTTGGCCGGTAAGCCCTTGAGGTCGAAATACCTCGGTTCGATGACGGTCAAGCTCGGTAACTTTCCATTTGCTGCATCTTTCTTGAATTTCAGATCGAATTGATGCAATTTGAAAATGTATTTTAGCTGTCGGAGATTACGGTAGAATAATGTTGTCGGAATATTCTGAAAGTATATTCCAAAGTCGATGTCGTTGCTATGGAGGGAATCGAATATTGTTTTTTGTGGATACCTGAAATCAAATGATGGTAGTACATTTATAAATTACTTCTTCAATATCATACAACTTAAGTACTTAACCCTATGCTAATATTTTTAAATTAAGTTACTGATGTCAAATTCTCTAAATATATTACAAGAAAAAAAAAAGACAACGTAGAGAATTAATATATTAATTTTTTTTCTAAAATTGGGAAATTAGTTATTGCTAGTTCAAGCAAGTACTCAAGATTTGCTATGGAAATTGAAAGCTAATTCAATAAACTCCGTGATTAAGTGTGAAAATAAACTAACTGTGACTAATTAAAAAAAGAAATAATTTGATAATAGTAATACATTACCCTTGAGCGAGCTGCTTCTTGACATGGCTTGTAGAACCATGCGAGGTAGCAGAATAGACGAATAACCGGTTCGGTTGAGTCGGACCGGGAATCGAAGAAAACCACCGGTCAAACACAGCAAATTCCTTAACCAGCTCAGCATAAACCGGTACAGCTTCAGGCCGGAATCCTTTCATGACAGTCTCCGACAAATTTCCCGGCATAGAAAGCGCTTGCTCAACGAAACCCATCATCGACGGGATTTGACCCGACCCAAATACCTGTTGCTCCACAGCTTCGAACGAATGACCCGGATCCGGATCCACAAACTCTGCATCGTTAGTGAAGCAAATGGTTTGTGTAGAATTCGGAACCGGGTTACATTCTTGACCGGTTACACCGTTTATAGACGGGTTAACCGATTTCTTCATCCAGCCCAAGAGGTGGTCGAAAGATCGATTCTCCATTACCAAAACGACGACGGTTTTGATCGGTGACTGCCATTGATGAGATCCTTGAGCTACATGGGTTTGTGTGAGAAGACAATAGAGTGCGAGAAAGTGTGAGAAAGTAAAAGAAAATCTGGAAGCTGGTGGTTTCATTTTTTTTTTCTCGGGAAAATCTGAGAAAGTGGATTTTGATTCTGTGGTTTTGTTTTGCCTTGGATTGGTTTCAGGAAGAACTTAAAGACAATAAGACCAAAAAGAGAAAAGCAAAAGAGGTAAAAATAAGGAGAAGAAAATCAAAAGACAGAGAAAAGTGAGAAGCTTGATTAAACCAAGAAACTCCTAGAAAAGTGAAGAAGAAACAGAAATGACTGTGGAAAATTTTGGGTAACTGTGTAAAGTGTGGAGATAGGTAGAACAAAAAGCTATGGCGTCTACTTACTGCATTTTTTGTTTTTGTTTTTATTTTCCACTACTGCTTTTTAGTTTAAGTGGGCTCGTTTTGTAAAAGAAGATTCTGTTCTCACTCAGAAAGTATTAACTAAAAAAAACTCAGAGAATTACTCATTTTTCTTGGTCAATGAAAATCCGAAATTTGGGCTCATTTGTAGCCAAATTTAAAACTTGGGTTATGCAAGAGAAGACATGGCCCTGAGAAAACCACGTAGATGACCATATAGGGTTAAATGTTTTTTCTTGTAGATATGGCCTTTTATAACCAAAATTCTTGTAGGTATTACATGTGGATTGCTAGCCTTCTTGATCATTTACTACTGTATTTGTGAGATCTTGACCAACGATTTAATTTGTATATCATAACCCTTTTTTAATTTCGTTTTGTTGGGAATTCGCAATATTAGTTAAGACTAAGAAACATATCTTTTTAAAAGTGATTTTTATGGACTTCAGCTTTCAGGGATCCGATCTGCTTAGAATGATCATGGTTATAATTTTTTTTTTATTCGATGATGTATAAAAATTCGTATAATAGAGTTTAACCTTTAAATTTGATTGAAAAAGCTATTTTTTGGTTGAAAGAGTATTATATAAATTGTACATGTACCAAGAGTATTAATACACTTTAAATGTGTTTTAGAAAGAAAAAACACTATCATGGTATTACTTTTGGCTAATGTGCCCCACTCATCTTCCATTAATACAAGAATTCGGGCGTTAGTGCTTTTGATACAAATAAATGTTTAGTGGTTTCAATTTTTTTTCCCTCACAAGTTTAGTGCTTACATTTTTCATACAATTTTAATTAAATGTTTTGAATTTTTTTGGAGTTTTTCTTTCACAAACGACAATGTACATCCAAATACACACGAGGAGTTCAAGCTGTATCGGAATGGCTTGCGGCTCAATCGAAAACAGACATAAAAAAATGAGATAAATCTCAGTAGCATTAGTCTTAGAAGAGCAAATGGGAACCCCCACCAAAAACATGGTTGAAAACTTGAAATGTAATTTCGATTGTAACTACCATCAAGATGAAAACGTTGCCGGATTTGTTTGGATTGTATGAAAGTCTATTATGTCGGGATGTGCAAGATCCAAGTGGGTTAATAAATTCAACACACCGTTTAGATATAAGGTCGGATAATATGTTTGATTTGAAGGTGACAATCGGGAACTAACGTCTTCCATAAATAAAAACGAAGAAAAACCTAAAATTGACAATATCTTTTTTTATTTACGATGGTGGATCTCAAAAGTACCCACCCTATTGCTCTTTAGCCCATCGTGAGGATAATAAATCAGCATATTTATTGTTGAAGAAAGCTTATGATTTTCAAATATAACTAGGTGAGTACCCGCGCATACGTACAGATTTTCTTCTGTGAGTATCTTTCACCTTGTTTGTTCTATGAACTAAAAAACAATCTTTTACATCATCCAGAAATGCATGAGTTGAACTTACACTACAAGAAATATGGGCATTGGTAGCAGGGCATTGTAGCACGAATTCACTAATTGCTACTAAAAGTGACAAAATCGGATGTCAAGTCTATCGTAGCA